ATATAATTCTTGTACTTGCATGTATCCCATATGGTTAAGTGAACCTAATACTCCAAAATAACACCATTTATCGGGGTCTACGTCCCAATTAACTATCTCTCAGCCTATATAATTAAAGGGGACTTCTTTGATCAAGGTCCCACCATGGTGGACCACTACCCGAAACATGTCATCAGACATCCCTACCCGAACCCAGCAAATGCAAACGGGGGACCACTAATTTCAGTTAAAGTAAGACCTATGGGACCACTATCATGCATCAAAAGAAGACAACTTTTCACACAAAATAATTTCACCCATAATTAAACTCCCTCAAACGCGACAACAATGAAAACATATCGAAAAACCTCAAAGACTTCAAATTATCAAATGTAAACTCTAACCTGATTTGATTTGCGGAATTGGATTTGCTCTGCAGATTTCACCTTCAAGATCACCCAATTTGGATTTGCAGGTCCTCCAAAATGCTTATCCCCAAATCGCGATTTCGATTTACCCAAACCAAACCCTAACACTCAGAATTTTAATCACTGCCCACTGCCACGTTCTCAGTTAATGAAAAAGCCACGTTACCAAGGTAAAAAGCCACGTTACCAAGGTAAAAAGTCACGTTGCACACATCAGTCCTCGTTGTCAGCAGGATCGTTAAATATTTAACGTCATGACCAAAAAGGATTAAATTGGACACTTTTTTCACAACGTGGGACCACATTGAACTTTTTGAAAAAGGTAGGACGAATTTGAACATTTCCCTTATAAAGAGGGACAAAAAGAGGTATTAAGCCTTTATATTATTGCAAAATTGTTCTTGGACATTTTTCTGCTTTTCAGGTGTGGTTTTATTGAAAAAATAATTAATTTTAAAAACAAAACGCCCAAGAGACGTCCGTTAGTGCACAGTCGGACGTCTATAGACGTCCAGCAGTGCACAAACGGACGTCCAACCCCTAGCCGTACTACAAACAATCCAGCCAAGTAGACGTCCGGGATGGGAGGGGACGGACGTCTATATGGACATCTGAGGGTTCAGAGTGGACGTCTATATAGACGTTCGGCCTGCCAACCGACGTTTGAACGACGTCACCCACATAGACGTCGGGCGAACGGACGTCTAAAGCCCTTTCTGCACTAGTGTGTTCTTGAAAAAGTTTTTTTGTCATAATTTTATAAGAATATAAGTTTAGAGAGATTAAATTAAACAAAGTATTTTAATTATTATAAAATAAAAATATTTTAATATTAAACATGTTTAATAATTAAAAGAATGCTAGTTTATGAATATTTTTCAGTGTTAACTAATATTATTTTGAGCTAAAGTTACAAGATTTTTAGTTAATGTTAACAAAAAAAAATATTTTTATTAAAGTTGATAATTTTTTTGTCTGTTAATGTTAGTGACAGTTATTTAACATTAACACTATTAGTCAAAGTATTTTTACTATTTGTTTTTTTATCGATGTAGGACAAACATTTTTAAGAGTAATATTAGTAAAGATAATTATATTTAAGGTTGGAAAAAGTTTTTTCCTTTTATATTTAATAAGCTTATTAAACAATATGCTATAAATACCGTTATTTTTCACATCACATTTTATACTATATATATGAACTTCCATTAAATTTTAATATCTATATATACTCAGTTACATACTCACACATTTTTATCTCAAAATCTAAAATATTGATTTTCATACATAAATTTTTCTCCTCAGAACATAAACTTAATTACCAAGACAGGTCTCAAAGTTTTTAAATATTTAGGAGACTCTGCAAGTCATCCATGAAAATACACTTTTTCACCAATTATAAAACCATAAAATTAAAAAAATAAAAAATTATACAGTTATAAAATTATACATTATTCATTATATAATTATACAATTATAAAATTATAAAAATAATACAGATAAAATATCAATTACATCACCTAATTACATGGAAAGTAAACAACTTAATTAAAAAAATATAAATATTTTTAGTAATCAATAAATAAAAAAACATACTTAAAACTTACAACTTTCTTTTTCTTACTTTTCTTTGTTGTTTTTTTTCCTTGTACCCGTCTCCTTTCTTCTCTTTCTCTCACCCTTCTTTATTTCTCTTATCATTTGTACTATTAATTTGGTTTAAATAATTCATTTGGTTTAAACTTTCATTCTTTTTGTTTCTGCATTCTTTGGTTCGTTATCCCTTTCGGTCTTGTTTCATTTGGTGAGCACCCCTTCAACATTAGAAGCTTCAATCGATTCTTTGACAAAGGTTCATGCAGCATTTCTTGTTCAGTGTAGTATGTCATGCATGATACAATAAATTCATCTGTTTCAAGATTCACCTCTCCCTCTTCTTGTCGTGATCTTGCATGGTTTCCGAATATGTAGGCATTACTGAGTGTCAAATGGTGCAAGCAAATCTTCTTTGCTGAAGCTATCAACTTTCTTTCTTGATGTTCAAGCATTTCTATAATTCATGATCAAAGTTTTATGCTTTCGCATATTTGTAACAAGAATCATTGTTCTTTCCCATCTTCTACCGAAAACATGGTATTCTTATATGTGTTTGTTCTCCTTCAACTATGTAGTTCAATATGTTAGTTGCAGTTCTTAGATACATGCATGTGTATGAACCAGTGATGGTTTTTTTTTTCTGAATTTTCGCATTAGTGTAGTAACTGATAAATGAAAACTGAGTATGGTTTTACATTGACAAATTCATCAGAAGAAAGTAGAATTGTTGAAATCTGTAGATGATGGGTGACCCAAATCCTGCGAGTAATAACATTCCACTGTCTTCTCGAAGTAATATTCCGCAGTCTTCTCGAAGGCGTAGTGTTCAGCCGAGAACGCCTCGGATTCTGCTTGGTGCTTGCGGGTGCACTGATGCTGCAAAATTTTCGCTTCTTTGTCAATTTTTTTGTAGATGGGCAGATATAGATGTTGTTTTCACACGGGCCGCGATACCTTTTCTTCAAGTTTCACCAATTCCCCGTCCAGCATTTAATCCTAGGAAAACTGCTGCACAGCATCTGGAATGGGCTGATGTCATGGTCATTGCTCCATTGTCTGCAAATACCCTTGCCAAGGTAATCAAATCAATAAACTTAGCTGTGTGTCAACCCAATTGAATCATTTACTGCAACAACAAAATAATGCAGAGGTTGTCTAGATCACACAACACCATTCAGTTCGATCAGATTAGGGAAAAACTTAAGTACAATGTTTAAGTACTTGTTGTTATGTTGTTCATGAATTGAAGATTTTTATGACACTTTAACATTCCGGTTTTTACTCTCGGTTTTTCTTTTACTATTTAAGCTCAGTTCTTTAACATTGGAATTTGTTGTTTCATCTATTGTGTTGCAGATTGCGCAAGGGATATCTGACAATACTTTGACAGAAATTGTGCGAGGTTGGGATCCTAACAAGCCACTATACGTTGCACCTGCCATGGACCCTGTTGCGTGGAATAATCCTTTGACAAAACAACATCGCAAAAGATGCGATGAACTTGGCATTACTATCATCGATCCCTCTCCACTGGGTCAAATGGCTGAACCTACTGAAATTTCTTACATTGTCAGGATCTCTAATGAAGAGATTTGGGACTAATTTTTCTTTAGCTAGACGAATCACTCGACAACTTATTTTGAGTATTTCGGTCTTTTTTTTTGTATCTGTAAAGAAAGAAAGATATTGAAAGTTAAAATAGTGATGTAAAGCATCTGATGTTTAGGATGGAAGTAATAATGTCTTAGCATATGTACACACAATTGTGGCTAAATCATTTTATCATTGCTTTGATTGATTTTTTATTTATTTGATGCTTAACAACCTTATTCGATGACTTCGCATTCATTATTATTTTTTCTTTTTCTTTATTACAATTATAAATTTTTGTTTATTTTAATTATTGCATTATTTGTAAGTTGTTAAGTATATTTTAAAATATTACTTTTATGGAGAAGTAACTTATTTCTAATTATTATTCAAATATATATGATAATTCTAATTTGTTTTCAGTTCTAAGTGTGTATTTGGATGATACTTAACTAGTTAAGTTAAATTTAATGAAAATTAAAAAAGAAATCTCTAATTTTTAATACAAAAATATCAAATATTGATATAATTTTCAACAAAGAAAATGGAAATTGATATTTTAACACGTCCTACAACTCATTGACTCTGGTGAGGTTTAATTTTTTATTCACTAATGCGTGTAAGAAATTTTTGGAACGGAAACGCTGAAAGAAGAAGCTACGTGGTAAGCACTAGCTCTTCTTAAATAGAAGATTTTTAACCATTTTTAATAAGATTTTTTAATTAAATTAAATTTATTTTTAAAATTTGTAGTAATATTTTAGTTTAGTAGAGGTTGTTTCTTAACAACGGAAATTTAATTGAAGAGTTCTTAGGGTTTTCGTTGAAGTAAATTTTTTATCTTATCTGTGCTTTTTCAATTAATGAGTATGTGCGAACATAAGTAGTTTGATGTGGTGCTTTGACCATGATAATTGGTGAATATGGTTTTCAATTGAGTTGTGATAATGTATGAGTAGGCTGTAGCATAATGATAGGTGTGATGTATCTCATCAGTTGAGACTAAGAGAATAATCTATATGATATGTTTTTTTCCTACGATTGATTGGAATAATGTTAGAGAATAATTGAATTGTGATTTGTTGATGAGTTGGGTAATCTAGTTTGATGCCAGATGTTAAATCATGAGTGAGTATGATGGAGTTGTGACTTGTTGATGAATGGTATCAAATGTTGAGATAGATGATTTTTGTGGATTATGTTTAGTATTGTCGTAATTATAAAGCCGTAATGTTTTATTGAGCTTAAGTATGGTATATTTGTAAGGCTTATGGAAGCAGGAAGAGAGTGGATTGTCACTAAGGCTTTGGTGGTACAATGGAGATGCTTACGGAAGCAGTCAAGATGACTCTGGGAGCTGTTAGAGTGGCGATATGTTACGGACAAATGAGAGATTGGGCAACTTCATTGGGTTAAGGGTATCATGATAAGGATGTGTATGGATTTTAATGATATTTTGTTTGGATCTTATTGGGATGGTTGAATTGTCTTATTGGTGTGGATAGTGTGGATGAATGTGATGGTATTATCACAATTGAAGCTAAATTTGTCTAATACGAGGATTAGTGCGGGGAAATTATTAGGAAATTTCAATGTATTACGAAATGATTTTGGCTAAGAGATATGAGTCTTTTGGATAGGGGAATATATGTGTAGGTAACCTAATTTTCGGGAACGAAAATTCTTTTCAGGTGTAGTGAAGGTAAGATCCGAAAAAATGTAGAACTTATAAATAATACTTAAGTATGTTTTATTAGAATCTGCATAAATTCATAAGGTATTTTGTAGCTAAGTTGATGAGAGTTCTTTGATGGGCTAAGTGGTCATGTGTTCAAGTCTTGATTAGATATGTGAGTTCAAATCCCAAGGGGATAGGTTTATGACAAACCTTTGTTTTATATTGGTTTAATATTTCGGTAGGTCCCTATTATCAACTAGATTAAACAAATGTTGAGGTGGCATGCTGATGTTAGTGATTTAATGACGTGGCAAATTGTTAGATATATATGTGAGTCTGACATGGATTTTTGTGTTTTTAAAATTAAAAAATAGGAAAAAGATAATTAAACAGATTTGTGTATAAGAATTAGGGATTTAGCAAAGGGTTCATTCACAAAAAAATTAGGAATCAATAAAAAAATTGGAGATTTATTTTGAAAAATTAGGGTTAATTGGAATTAAGAGTTTAGGAATTTGGTAATTATCGTTATATGTAGAACAACTTTACCACTTCCACCGTCAACGACAGAAGGATGCATGAGTGTTTCATCTGTCACAGCAATAATACCACACAGGTTTGGATGATCAGAAGATAGAATAAGAAGATGATGACGCGTGAAGAGCGGTGCCATGCCATGAAGCAGTGGAGCATAGCATGAAACAAAGAGATAAACTCAAACCCAATATTCAAAGCAAAATAATAAAGAGGATTGAAAAAGAATGCATTAACCACGAGTCAGAAGAAAAATATGTGGTCTGCTATTCATTCAAGTTCAGTTTTAGTAGTCATGGTTTTCACTTGTAGAAATTTCAATACTTCAAATAAATAAATAAAAAGTAGTTACATATGAAAGAAAGTGTATGGAAGCGCTTTGGAAAACCAACACTACTTCCCTCACTATAGGAACCTCCAACACCCAAAGAGGAAAAACTCCATACGACACCGCACCGATAAGCGTCATGATCCTCACCAACTCAACTCTCTGAGAAACAAAATCAGCATTCAACTCTAATGCGGAATCATGCAAAACTAAGTGAATAGGTGCAAGCCCCATCGAATAGATAACTTCCCCCAACACTTTTCCCATCTGTTATGGACCCAAATTAACAGGCTCTCTTACTTTTCTCTTCGACATACGCGTTTGAATCAACAGGTTCGAACGACATCACGATTGAGATGCGATTTGTGGCCATGAAGAGCTCGAACGCGATTTAGGGTTTGAAAGGGTTTTTCGAATTAGGAATTTTTCTGGATTAAAGCACCTCTACGTTTGATTTGCAAGTGATGAAATTGGTTTAGGTTGTGCTAATGGAGGCTTGTGTGGTGGCTATCTGTGCGAAAAAGATGACGGTGGATACTTGAGGGTTTAGAAGTGCGTGGAAGATGATGCGGGAAGATGGTGACGGCGCAAGAACAATATCTGAAATTAATTCCCAATTTGGATGAACTCTAAAATTAAACTTTCTTCTTTCCGATCCTTAATCCCTAATTCGAACAAGGTATGCAGTGGAATGTTTAATTCGCTTTTACAAATTTCTTTTATTTAAAAAAAATAAAAAAACACATCAGAATCACATACATCAAATATGCTACTCCACGTCATTTAAAAATGAAGATGAGCATATCACGTCAATCATACACTAACGTCGTTAAGCCCAATTTAACGGTAGGTGTCTAATTATTGCAATTTTTACAAAATAAGGACCCAATGGAGACGCCGAAAAAGAAGGAGACCTATTTGAGATTCTAGTCGAAAATAGGGACCTAGCGAAATATTAAACCTTTTATATTTTTCCTGAGGGCAAAACTGTCTTTTAATGTAATAATTATATTTTTCTTAAAAAAAAAAAAATTGGTTGAGATATTATAGGAAGCATTATCTAAGCAGTTAGTTAAAAAATAATTTTTAGATAAGACAACAGAAGCATGTAGTTTTAGTCTGGTATCAATAAGGTTCTAGAATTGGACAAGGAGAATCTAACCTTATTTTAATTATTTATCTTTGTAGTGGTTAATTTAATTTTAAATGCTTTGAAGGATGGTGTGATGTTTGTGCTTTATTTGGGTGATCCATGGTGTTTTTCAAGATTATCGTAAACCATGAAACTTTATTTTAAGACTATTTAAATAATGGTTTCTTCTTTTTCATGAGCATATGAAGTTAATTGTATAAAGAGTGAGTGAATCTTTAAATAGTAGGATAAATAAATGAAAAAATACAGTATTGCAATGTCATAAACGTAGTCAATGTGTTTTTTTAAATCAAATTTGAGAAGAAAACTTTTAAAGAAGAGATATCAATATCATTTAAGGTTGACATTTAATTATAATTATGCACAAATTAAAGTTAGGATTTTCCTTTTAATTATAGTTAAAAATAAATTAAGAGTTAGGATTTCTTTTGTTCAATTCCTTCTAAATCCCTATTGAATACAACAAACCCTAATTAGATCCTCAAACACTAATTTTCTTTCTCTTAATCAAAACCTAAATTGAGGGTAAAATGTTTGTGTTCGCGGCTTGGTGGTGGCAAGGCTTTGGACTTGTGATCCATGGCATGGAGAACTCATAATTCCTGGTTGCACGAAGAAGACGATGGTGCTGCGGTGGCGCGATTTGTATGGGGCTCTTCGTCATGCATGAATGGTGGCTAGGAGGGTTTTGTTTTCCCTTTCGTTCCAGTTGTTTTTGTAGGGAGGGGAGGCGCGCTCAGGCAGTGCATGTGCGACCTCTTTGCGGTGTAGTGGTCACGATAGCAACATCTCCGCGATGTAAGGCTTTCTTTCTCTAGCGACTTCGCGGCAAGGGTTTTGATTGGAGTTTTAGGGCTTGTTGTTCTCGCATTTTTTATCTAAAATTTGGGGGTTTTGTGTCATCTATTATTGGGTTCCTCATTTCTTCTTTGAAAGTTAGTGGCATAAAGAGTAGTGGCAAGGGAGGCTTATATTCTTCTCTGTTTTTGGTTTGGTCTTGTGGAGAACCATTTCTTCCTTCGACTTTCTAGTTTGATTAGTTTTTTTTTCTGGTTTTTGGCTCACGATGCACGCAGGTGTGGCCACAAAGAAGACATGGTGGTGCCTATAAATTTAAGGTTCTTGGTTCTATGAATTTGGGGGTTCTTGAACTGTGGTTTAGGTACCTACTGCTCGTAATAGTTCTAGAGGTTGGGTTGTAAGGGAGAAGATGTTGGTGATGGAGGTGTTTGAGGTTTTAATGTTCTGATTTTGGTGGTTCTTTATTGTGCCTGTGTTATGATGGGTTGAGATTGAAGAGGGTTTGGGCGCGGTGGTAA